AAAAAAAAAAAAAAAAAAAAAGAATTACAATGAACCAAGGATACCGACAAGTCACCAGTGCCTATGGGTCTACAGGGTCTCACTACGTAGATGGGACATATAGTGATCCACCTGCATTCAGCCCCCCAAGAGCTGGGGTTACAGGCTCGCACCCCCATGTCCAGTCTCAGTCGCCATCTCAGCATGCCCAAAGAGAGAAATGCTGCTTGATTTCACTTGTACACAGAATCTGAAAAGTCTAACTTAGAAGCAGATGCTGGGCCAGCCACATAGCTCAGGGGATTAAAGCGCCTGTTAGGCAGACGCTGCGGCCAGGGTTTGAGCCCCAGCTTCGCTGTATCTGCTTGAATCCTGGTTCGCCTTTCCCAGTCGATTAATGATGCTGAGCACCTTTTCGATGAATCTCTTGCTGCTTTGTGTGTCTGTTTTTAGAAATATCTGTAAGGTCCCTTGTTCACTATTTAACTGGGTTGTTTTCCTGCCTTCGAGTTGAGTTCCTCAGCTAGTTTGGAGAGCTACCCCTTAGCAGATGTGTGATTTGAAATTACTCTTTCTACAGGGTTTCTGTTCACTTGTTAATTGTTTCATTTGCTCTGCAGAAGTTTTTTAGTTTGATTCAATCCTATTTGTCTATTTTTACTTTTGTTGTTTCTGTTTTTGAGATCATATTCAGAAACCGTTGGTCAGGCCAATGTCAAAAGGCTCTTTCCTGTGTTTCCTTATTACAATTTCGAGTCGCATGTTTACGTACTTAATCTATGTCGCTGGGGTCACGCGCATGTGTGAGGCAAGCTCTAGCTGCACCGTGTGTGTGTCTGGTCGTCCCAGCGCACTGACGCGATGGGCTGGGCCTTCTCCCGTGGATGTTCTTCGTGCCTTTTCTGGAGATAAGCTAGCTGCAGATGCAAGTTGGCAGCAGTTCTTCTGGGGAGGAGAATTAGTCATGACTGGGCTGTGTGTGCGCGTTTTACCATTTGGTTGTATAATTTTCTGTTTAGACTGTATCGCATGAGAAATATTACTTCTGTAATACCAATAATGTTAACTGCAAAAAATTAAAATATAAAGATTCTATTAATCCCTCAAGATATTCGATTAATCCTGTTCCTTATGTCTTCTTTGTTCTTATCTAGAAATGATTTCTCTCAACTTATAATATCTCAGTGGGTTTAACAAAACTACCTTTTACACACTATTAGTTTTACACACTTTTTAATGTCTGCATCTGTGGTTTACTGAATTACTTCATTTTGTTCCTGAGAAACCTGATGCACAATGAGAAGCTATTGAATCAATATATTCAGTAATTGTTTTAATCTTATTTTTAAAATTGGCATACAGAATAATAAACCCTTTTTGTAAACAGTCTTACAGATTTTAACACAACACCAACTCAATTAAGAAACAGACTCATTCAATCATGTTTAGAAGAACTCCCCTGTGGAGACACATGTGAAGTCTCAAAACTTCCCCTTTTCAATTACATCCTGCCCTTGCCAGCTTCCGGCAGTCACTGATTTGTTCTTCAAGATGGCGTGTGTCTTCACAAGAGTGTTCTCTCTGTGCAATCACCTGCCTTTCCAGGCTGGCTCTGTCACTCAGCACAGTGACATGTAGGTGTCCCCAAGTTGTGGGACAGCTGGACACATCAGTCTTCAGTCCTCATTGCCATGCTGTTATTCTACCCTGTTGAGCTCTTCAGTAGAATAGCTCACAGTTGAGCTCTTCCTTCAAGATCCTGCTGAATGACTAGACCATCTTAAACATTAATGCCCAGGTTTCTGGGGAAGCGTGTCTTCAGTGTTCTGGGATAAATAACCAGGGCTGGGCTTACTGGGTTATAGAAGTGTTTGCTTAGCTTTATGAGACACCACCAAACTCTTTATAGCGTGGCTGGAACATTTTTTAGAAGTTATTTCTACCAACCATGTGTGAAGATGCTAGTTGTTTTGCATTTTTGCTCATATTTGATATTTTCAGTACTTTTGCTGATTGATGTTTCATAAGTACTTGCTGGCTTCTTACCATGACTCTAACTTGCTTCTCTAATGGTTAACAATGGATTTAACTATTTCTTTATCAAAAAATCTGTGCATTGGGGCCAGGGAGATGGCTCAGTTGAATAAGTGCTTCCCTAGTAAGCGCAAGGGCCTGAGTTCAATACCTGGTTCCAGCAAAAAAAAAAAAAAAAAAAAAAAAAAGGCTCTTACAAGCAGTTGCCTTAAAAAAAAAAAAACCTGTGCATCTTTTTAGTGTTTACTTAGCTTATCTGTAAGTGAAAAAATGATAATACTCTCCTTTGTAGTAATACACATTTTCTTGAATCAGTTTCTCCCACAATACCAGAGGTTTCTTATGATTTTCTGCCTGGGACAGTTAGAAAAGGATTGTATTGGCTGGTCCTTGTCATTGTCAATGTCTTTGGGGCTGTCTTCTTCCTTCCTCTGCCCCTCTTCCTCCTCCTCCTCTTCTTTTCCTTCTTCTGTTTCAATAAATATGTGTACAGAATTATTGCTGAATTTTCAGTTTGTTTCCCTAGCAACTGGTTT